CTCATACGCAACCTGCGTATTCGCAAAAAAAAAAACACAAATCTGTCCATAATCGACAAACCTACTTAAACGAAATGGCCATTGTAGAAGAACATGGATTTTCTTGGTATAGCAAATAAAATTATCTTTTATTCCAATACATCAAAATTCCACATGTGCCAACAAGCAAGGAAAGTATCTTCAGATAGTTAGAAACTCACAAAAGTATGGCTCGTATTTGACTGGATACAGATTAGACACAAGATACATGTGATACTTAACACACGGAAGAGAAGATTGCGAATGAAACATAAACTGCAATCACCGGTAAGAACAAAGCGTTTCTCACCTAAGACATGAAGTTGTATGCATCTCGCTCAACAGAGGCACACCACCGTTGGAGATTACGCTATGGTTTGCAACAAACAATCAACCCCAAATTTTAAAATCAAATAACACCAAGTCATGTACTACCTCCGTCCGGGTTTATTGGGCCTTTAAGCCATCCATGTCTGTCCCTGTTTATAAGGCCCCCTGCAGTAACTACTTGTTTTTTCCCAAGAATCTCTCCCTTCTTTTGCGTTGCTGCATTGGAGCTGGCGCATGGACTTGGCTGATTGGCCATGCATGCACAATGTATGCGCACGCCGTCCATTGCATGCGTCTGGTTAGTTAGGCTGGTCGTAATGGGAGTATCATAGTTAGTATCATGCATGCCAAGTAGGCAATTTTGATGATGTGGCATAGAATTAAATGAAGAAATAGATGGTTGAGTATCATATCATGATACCGTATCATAATAAATGCAATGCTACTATGTGTCATGCATGGAAATAAATAAAGTCATCTATGATACTAGTACATGATACTATGCATTAGGGAGGTAGTATCACACACTAGTATAATATGCATGATATGATACTAACTTATGATACTACCCATTACAAGCAGCCTTACTAGGCCTAGTTAATAGGGTGGTTCTGGAGTAAATTAAGTTGATTTATTTTCCAAATCTCTAGTTGCGTGCATCTTCTTGGTCTTAGCAATTTGGCTTATGGGCCTAATAAACCCGGACGGAGGGAGTATATAAATAATAATGCCCTGACAGTCAACCAGCACTGCCTCAACCACGGGACAGTATAAGTATCAACAAGAAATTCCTCCAATAGATCATGCTCCCACAAAATCTAGCAATCAAACGGCCACTGATTGATACTGAAAGAAGTCCACATCACCCCCCAGGGTTTCACAAACCGGCTAATTTACCCCCTGAAGTTTAAAACCGGGTACTTAACCCCCTGTCTTTCTCAAAACAATGTGAATTACCCCCTAAACCTGATTATAGTGGTTTTGTGAGGTGGTTTGCTGACGTAGCAACGTTGCAAGGGGCCAGGTCGGCAGAGTTCTTTCTTCCCTATCCCATCTGCCTGCAATCACGTGTATACGGCATCGTTCACATCCTCTCACCTAAACCATCCTTGGTGCCGGCGTGCCAGTTTCACCCCGACATCGAGGTCCCCCGCGAACAGCTCGACGTTGAGGTACTCCATACTCGCTGTACAACATCAAACAGTTTACAGCAGCCGACAAGGAGCCCTAGCATGATGGAGCTCGTCCGGCGTGGTTCACTAAGCACCGCACGCTTTGATTTTTCGTAGGATGTGGTATAGGTGCACCACATCCCTCCCATTCATCCTCTCCTCGAACCCCGGAGTCATGCACTTCTCGACCTTCACCTTGAAGTCTCTGCCCTTATGGAGTTGTGCAGGCGGCCGGGACACACATCTTGCTCCTGAAGGTGGAAAACATGACGGCGCTGTCCGGGATGGAGGAGAGTCACTCTGCCGAAATCTCCTCGACCTCGCTCTGCGGCAGCTCCGGCATGTTCGTGCCGGTGACGAGCACCAGCCTGCCGAGCTGGGAGACGAGTCTTGATCACGAGCGAGGGCCTGACTGGCCTCGAGCCCAGCGAGGAACCGAGGACGCCATGGTAACATGCATGACTCATATTTGTGAACACATAGGTGATTTTGGCAGCCTGGTGGTGAGGGAGGACAAAGGTGATGCTCGCGTTTGACGTCCTTGAACTCGCTGATATACACGGGTACACACATCATGGGGAGGAATTCAGTTAGATGTGCTTGGACAGCGGCAAGCCGGATGAGTCAACGCTCCTGGGAGTCCTAGCAGTATTCTCAGATCGGCGATGGGTCAGAGCTGCAGCTTCGATGATGCACTCCGCGCCTGATTGAAGCGATGGCTTTCGATGTGTGACACTCTGGTGGCGTCGTGTAGGCTGCACGGCAACCCGGAGATGATGCAGTTCACCATCAAGAAGCTGACAGAGTTGAAAGAATGGACCAGCAAGCTACATGGTGATGTCGGCATCCAGGCGCTGCACACGACGCCGGCGTGGTGCAGGCGTGCAGCTGAGGATGGACAAGGCCAGGTGCAGTTGGGTGCAGGTCCGAAAGGACAAAACCACCTGCCAAAACCACTCTAATCAGGTCTAGGGGATGATTCACATGGTTTTGAGAAAGGCAGGGGGTTAAATACCCGGTTTTGCACTTCAGGGGGTAAATTAGCCGGTTTGTGAAACACTAGGGGGTTATGTGGACTTCTTTCGATTGATACTAAAATCGACCCCAAGCAGAAGTGTCATACCTAGATGCAATCACATGAATAAACCATACATCGCATCAACAAACGTGAATTATTCATCAAAATACCAGCCAGCACCCGCCACGAGGCAAAATCGCAACAGAGGAAGGGACAGGGCGGGGGTGAGACGGGGGAGGAGAGGAAGGGCGCCTTACGAACTCCACGAAGGCCTGGTTGCGGTTGGCTCCGACGTTGCACATGGTGTTCACAACCCTGCCGAATGGTTTGCAGAGCTCGACGAGCTCCTCCTCAGTGCTCTCCCACGGCATGTTCCGTAGGTGCAGCACCTTGGACGGCGTCTGTGTGTACCGGAACTGCGTAGACCCGGACGGCATCCTCGGTCGCCCGCCACGGCGGCCGCGCGCGCGCTGGGTGAGATAAATTGGATGAGGAGGGTTAGGGTTAGGGTTTGGTAAATTGGGATGAGAAGGGGAGTCGACTCGGGGCTACGGCTTGAGAGGACAGATTAGGACGGCTGGGGCGATGGGTGGTTCGAGAGAGGGACGAGCCGACGATGGGACGCGGAATTGTTGAACAGTTGAACCCCAACGGGATTATCCAGTTTCTAGGGACTGCTGGCTTCAGTCGGCCGGTAGCTCACCGTGTACTATCTCGTGTACGCAAGACACGTCACCGAAGAAGCCTCGCTCAGAGTGATACGCAACACACGTCCACGAGGTTTTTCAAACCCGAAACTCCACACATTCGGGTGAAATCCCATGAGTACGGCTGTCAGGACTACCCTAGGTAGATCTGATCGTCCCTAGAGCCTCATAAATTACTATCTCGAACATAAAGAGCGAGGAGGAAGAAAAAATAAGGGACAACAAAAAGGTAATAGTGACAGATATGTTTGACGATTGTGTGTTGTTTCTTTTTCTTTCTTTTTTCAATGGATCGTCGTCTCTCGGATATAAGGTGGGTGGGCTTTCATACAAGAAAAGTCTTAAATCTCGTTCAAAACGTCAAAACCTAACTTAACTTAAATAAATAGGACCGAAACTAACTTTTGGTCTGGCCCGAAACTTCCGGGCTTAATCATGTATAAAATAGCTTATTTGTATTGATCATGGAGATCCTCACACGATATTGGATTGAGATGATCACAAAAGCAAATTTGGTCTTCTTGTTAAGATGAATGACTTTCATGTTCATGAATTTTATTCATCCAAGATTATTTTGCGGGTGCATTTGTGCATGTAAATCAGTAAAAATATATTATAACTTCAGTTTTCTATGTGCACCACGTACAATCTTTTCATAAATTTCAGAACTTTAGGGGCTAGTCCGGAACTTGTGTATCAACTGTTTCAGCTCTCGAGGTTGCATACGATCTTGATTGGAGATGATACAAAAATTAAAGTTGTTTGTTTTGACGATACGGGATTTTTAAGTTGAAAGATTTTCCGCTTGAGGTCATCTTACATGTATTTTCTATCATTGACAAAATTTGATGTCAACACATGCATCTCCGAGCTTGTCATACTATTGCGTGAAAACTCCAATTTGGCATACCATCATATCCACTAAATGTCACAGTTGCGCCAATTGGCATGTGGACCAACTCCAACCTGCAAGTTAAATGAAATATATGAAATTTAAAATGGAAGTCAAGTGAACCGTTTGAAGAGATAAATAAGAAAACAACTAATGCAACTGAAAATAAAGGTGAATTCCTCGCAAAAAAAAAGAAAATAAAGGTGAATTATTCGCCTATGCTTGTTTCTAAACACGGTCATATCGACCTATGCCCCTCACTTGCACGAACGCACACTCCCTCTTTATCTCCATCTCTATCTTCTATCTCTATGTGAAAACATCCCTGGCCGCCTGGAAGTCAAGTGACCTATTTGAAATATAGAATGGAACTTAATTAAACTACTAGTAGAATGTCCGTGCGTTGCTATGGGTTATAATACATATAAATGAATCAAACAAATGATTAAGGGTGTCTCCAAGGTCGAAGATCATTTCTCCTTCATACATCTGGACATGTTCGGACATCAAACAGGCCGCAGCAGGTTCCTCAAAATTCAACCGTTTGGATAATCCGAGCTCCCTAAAATCCAGCCCATATGAAAATACCTTTGATAGCTAGCAGTAAGCCAACAAAAAACTTAGTGTTGTTCGGCCCCAACCTTCTGTTGGGGAACATAGCAGAATTTTAAAATTTTCTACGCATCGCCAAGATCAATCTATGGAGTCATCTAGCAACAAGGAAGAGGGGAGTGTATCTACATACCCTTGTAGATCGCGAGCGGAAGCGTTCAAGAGAACGGGGTTGATGGAGTCGTACTCGTCGTGATCCAAATCACTGATGACCGAGCGCCGAACGGACGGCACCTCCGCGTTCAACACACGTACGGTTGGGAAGACGTCTCCTCCTTCTTGATCCAGTAAGGGAAGGAGAGGTTGATGGAGATCCAGCAGCACGACGGCGTGGTGGTGGAAGCAGCGATGATCTCGGCAGAGCTTTGCCAAGTTCCAACGAGAGAGAGAGAGAGGTGTTACGAGGGGAGAGGGAGGGGCCAGGGACTTGGTGCGGCTGCCCTCCCTCCCCCCACTATATATAGGGCCCCTAGGGGGCGCCGGCCCTAGGAGATGGGATCTCCAAGGGGGGCGGCGGCCAAGGGGGGGCTTGCCCCCCAAGCCAAGTGGGGCGCCCCCCCATCCCTAGGGTTTCCAACCCTAGGCGCAGGGGGAGGCCCATGGGGGGCGCACCAGCCCACCAGGGGCTGGTTTCCCCTCCCACGTCAACCAATGGGGCCCTCCGGGATAGGTGGCCCCACCCGGTGGACCCCCGGGACCCTTTTGGTGGTCCCGGCACAATACCGATTACCCCCGAAACCTTCCCGATGGCCGAAACTTGACTTTCTATATATAAATCTTCACCTCCGGACCATTCCGGAACTCCTCGTGACGTTCGGGATCTGATCCGAGACTCCGAACAACTTTCGGGTTACCGCATACTAATATCTCTACAACCCTAGTGTCATCGAACCTTAAGTGTGTAGACCCTACGGGTTCGGGAGACATGCAGACATGACCGAGACGACTCTCCGGTCAATAACCAACAGCGGGATCTGGATACCCATGTTGGCTCCCACATGTTCCACGATGATCTCATCAGATGAACCACGATGCCGAGGATTCAATCAATCCCGTATACAATTCCCTTTGTCAATCGGTACGTTACTTGCCCGAGATTCGATCGTCGGTATCCCAATACCTCGTTCAATCTCATTACCGGCAAGTCACTTTACTCATACCGTAATGCATGATCCCGTGACCAAACACTTGGTCACATTGAGCTCATTATGATGATGCATTATCGAGTGGGCCCAGAGATACCTCTCCGTCATATGGAGTGACAAATTCCAGTCTCGATCCATGTCAACCCAACAGATACTTTCGGGGATACCTGTAGTATACCTTTATAGTCACCCAGATACTTGTGACGTTTGGTACACCCAAAGCACTCCTACGGCATCCGGGAGTTACACGATCTCATGGTCTAAGGAAATGATACTTGATACTGGAAAAGCTCTAGCAAACGAACTACATGATCTTGTGCTATGCTTAGGATTGAGTCTTGTCCATCACATCATTCTCCTAATGATGTGATCCCGTTATCAATGACATCCAATGTCCATAGTCAGGAAACCGTGACTATCTATTGATCAACGAGCTAGTTAACTATGCTTACTAGGGACATGTTATGGTCTATGTATTCACACATGTATTATGATTTCCGGATAACACAATTATAGCATGAACAATAGACAATTATCATGAATAAGGAAATAAAATAATAATCATTTTATTATTGCCTCTAGCGCATATTTCCAACACCTTCCACCTTAAGACTTCTCTTGCCACCAAAAGAGAAGCACACTTTGGCGGGAGCAGCGACACTGGGTCTAACAACAGATCATCAATATAATGAGCAATAACAACTCTCTATCCCGCTTCTTTCTTCCCCGGTAGTCGTCCAACCTCCTTAACCATCCTCCTCTTACAAGAAGACAAAGCATCATCTTTTTTCCTACCTTTTCTCTCCCTCCACTTTCATTCTCTTGATCTGCCCATCTTCTAGCATTATTCTTGTTCAAAAGTCCCATCCCGTCTTACCATCGCTTGTACACATTTTAATAACTTTAACAAAATCTATGAAAATAGTTCTCATGTGCACCTTCATTGCTAGTGACTCATACCCCTTCATCTGTTGTCGCTCGTAATACCTACCGACCCTCATAGTACCTATATATTCCAACAATGCAAATTATGTTGGGTTCTACGGTAGGGTGCGTCGACTGCAAATTAAAATTTTCTACGCGCAAAACAACCAAGAACATGCTACAGAAGATGGATCATAGTTTGTTACCACCAGACATGCAGTGTCGTGCAGCGGAAGAAGAGTTGGGGTAGCGCATCCGCGTGGATCGTCTCCTCCTTGTTCGATCTTCCTCGAACAGCCGGTCGTCGGTTCCCACGTACAGGTTCGCCAGAGCGGCGCAAATCCACCGCCTCTAACGATATCTGCGCGTGCAAAAGGAACGTCGTGCGACAGACTGCTAGGTCCAATCACACAACCGGCAGCGAGTGGAGGTGTCTATTCGCAACACATGCAAACCCTAGTGACAGCACCGAAGCGATCAACCGCATGAGTGTGTCGCACCCCGCTTTATATAGGCATCCGTCGCGGGCTCAACACTTGGGCCTCGCACGGGTCCTAAAGCCCATAAGTCTACTCGGCCACAATCCGAATACATCTCGGATCACATCTGACCAATGTCCCCGGATCTGACCTCATAGGTTCCTTCCCTTAAGCGCGCGACCCCTTAGGTTCAAGCCGGCTTGGTCGCAGTTCGGATCACCTTCGAATTGCACGATTGGTAGCGGCCCCTAGCAAGGCATGCCAAACACCAAGCAGGCAATGAAGTTGGTTAGGCGAACCTGTACATCATACTTTCATTCCTTTTGCCACACGATATATGTTGTCGGGCTCAAGGCGAGTCTGTCATCCTTGTGCTAGCCCGACCTTTTTCTCGTTCCAGTGATGCCGACCACAAACCGGATTATCTCATAATCCATGCCGCATGGCCATGCTTATCCTGGTCGCATCACACGAGGGGCCTGGAGCATATCTCTCCTGATCGGAGGGGCAAATCCCATCTTACTCGACCATGTCTCGCAGCAAGGGTCTGGACAAGCCTGAAACCTACCTTTGTAACTACCCAGTCACGGAGTAGCGTTTGGTTGGCCCAAAGCAAGTCTGTCATCATCCCGAGTACATGCGCCAGCTCAGGTCTTAGGACATAGAACGTATGTTGTA